CACACACACACACACACACACACACACACACACACACACACACACACACACACACACTGCAGCACAGAGGACCCATGAATGATTAAAGATGGAGGACAGAAGCATCGATCTGCGAGCAGGAAGTAACAAACCACTCATCACTGGAACAAATCTCATGCAAATATCAGTTTCACGTCTAACAGAAGCAAACTTTTTACAGGAAATATTCTTGGTTCTTAATATTTCCTTATTTTCAAGTCTTTACTTGTTTTCAAATTATTTGAAGAACAACGTAAAGAAATGTGTGTTTTTAAGCCGAGTTGGATTTAAAAGGTCAGAAGAGACAGAAAATCTGTTTTATTTTAAGATTAATTTAAATTATCTACACTTCAGAGCTCTTATTCTTACTAAATCTGCTTTTATAAGAGCTGCCGAAGKAAAAATTTGGCTGAATCATCAAAGTTTGCGAACAAAGCTGTTTTTTTATTTAGCTATATTAAAATGATGTATTTATTTTAGTCCAGTGTTTCTCCCTCTGTTTATAAAAAGTCACACAAGCTCTAAATAAATATGTAAAGCATGTTTACAAAGGAGAGCTTGTGTCCAGAAACCAGGTGACGGTTCTGTTTATTTGAATGAGTCCAAACTAGGAAACTTACTGAAACATTGAAAGTTTCATTGAATATTCTGGAAACGTGTCAGATCTTTCCTCCAGCAATAGAAATGTATTCAGATTAAATAATCTGAATYTATCGTTTGTATGGCCACAAGGTTAATTAATCTGATCAGMACTAGCGTTTACATGCACCAGGCTTTTTTTTATTCAGAATAGAAGTACTGARGTGCAGAGWTGTAAACCTCCCTTAACAAATCACAGAAGAAGWTCTACTTCCACGATGAACATAAACAAATGTCTTCTGAGCTCCCAGAATGGACCGGCACCAGGTGTTATTAATGGTGGAGACGTTACTGCGCTCTGTGTTCCTGTCAACATCAAGGTGTTCCATCATTCTGAGCTCTTTTAAAGTTTCTAATAAAAATGTTGCATCGCTGAACGATCAGTTAGCCTCCCTGACATTTAGCATCCGTCCAGGTGGCAAAACGCCACATTGATAGAGAGTCAGGTCAGTTTTCCACAGCCAGAATAACATAATCAGATTATAAATCAGCATAAACCACCCCTCATTCAGATTATAAATTCATTACAGTCAAGCTGAATCAGATCAGAATATTCTGATTGGTCATTTATTCCGATTACTTATGTCCATGTAAATATAGGTAGTGAATTTGAATATCGTCCTTTTTCATACAGACATAAAGACAAACTTCTCATGCAATAATATAG